TGATGGAATCAAATGAAACTTGGTATGTGTATACATATTCATGAAACGATGATTAAGTTCCAATTTGATTTATTTTCAACTGTTAGAAGCAGAGTTATTGCCCTTGCCCAAAATCTTGAATATTTAACATCCGCATGCCGTGGTGGGCGTATATGGCTGTGATCCACTATCTTATACTCTAAAAATAGTATCAACAATGGAGAATTTGTCACAAGCAAATGTCAAATAATCAGAAAAATACAATTGAAGAAGATGCCATATTCCAGAATCTAACCCTTCAGATCACTTGAGAACACTTGTGTATAAGATTTGTCGAGACAGGGTTATTAAGGTGGAGAGATTCAAGAGTTTCTATTGACAGACAATGACTTGCTATTTAATTTTCATAACTCATGTGAGAACATGATCATTTTACTGGAACTGGACAGAAATTAAAATAAAATGTGTCCTTGTCTTTGGTGAAATATCAACAGGTTGTTTTTAAGTTTTAAGAACCCAATGGATTAAGGTATATTGTATACCAACCCTCTTTTGATTGGAATATATATTTTACTAATATAAATGATGAAATAATAGAATAGCAGAGATATTTGGATGAAGAAAAGATAACTATGGGCTTTGAAGTGAAAATGAAGCTAATAGTCTGTGACGTGTCTTAAATTAGACAAATATTTAATACACACAAATTCATTTCTCTTCCACGCAACCATGAAATTTGGCAACTTGGGAAAACATTAATGATGAGTTAATTGTCTTGTTTTCTAGTCAGCCTAATTTTATTACTTTCTAGAAACGGTGTCAATTCAACTTAAAGATTTTTTTTAGACTTCCCCGTGGAGAATTGGCCAAATAATGAAACACGTAGGCAAGGTTTTAGATGGTATTAGCCATGTCAACACTCTTAATTTTCTTTTTCTTGTGATATTGATAGAAGTTCATTACTTGTATAATTTATTATTAGCTTATACATTATTTATTGTATTAAATATTAATTTCATCTTGTAAGTTAAAAACACTGCATATTAAGAAATGTTATTGTTATATGTTGGTATGAGGTTTTTGTTGATAATTTATAGCCTCCACTGTCACACCTCTGGTGAAATATTCGTAGGGTCAAAAAAAATTCACGGGGAAAACGATTATATGGTCTTAGACTACTCATGTGGCAGTCCAAAATATTGAGAAAAAAATATTTTATAGCCCCCCTTCCGAGTTATGCCCGAAAATGAATAAAAATGCTGGAAAATGGATAACATGCTGAATGAAGACAAATTCTACAAACAAGTCAACTTTGTTTGATACGATTTAGTTATTTAGTCATATCTCATAATGTAGAACAATATAAAGGCAATTATAAAATTTGGAAACTTCAACCTCTTTAACTTTTCCACGAGAGTCATATACGTTACACGTGATGAGAACAATAGGAAATCAAGAAGCTTCTCGCTGTAATCCTTATGAAGCATGTCTCTTTTGTAAGTCCCTCCTATCCAAGGTAATTTGAAATCTGCGTGCACACACTCTGAAGCCTGTTCTGACCAATAACCTAGCCCTTTCCCAGCATATTCTAGTCACAACATCACCTGTCTATCTACGAAATCAGTAATATGAGCGATGACCTCATGACATTTACTCGTTATCGAAATTTCAAATTACCTTGGATAGGAGAGACTTACAAAAGAGACATGCTTCATAAGGATTACGGCGAGAAACTTCTTCATTTCCTATTGTTCTCAACACATGCAACGTATATGACTCTCGTGGCAAGGATAAAGTTTCCAAATTTTATAATTGCCTTTATATTGTTCTACATAATGAAATTATAACAAAATCCATACATTTTCATATCGAATAAAGTTGACTTTTTAGTAGAATTCAATCTTCATTCAACATTTTATCCATTTTCCAGCGTTTTTATTGATTTTCGGGCATAACTCGGAAGGAGGACTATAAAATATTTTTTCTCAATATTTCTTTTGGACTGCCACATGAGTAGTCTGAGACTATATAATCGTTTTCCCATGAACTTTTTTTTGACTCTACGAATATTTCACCAGAGGTGTGCTGTCCAATAACTGTGGACATCTCATGCCACTCTCCTACTGGGTTTGTCAATTTTGAGTCATTTTTGGAGGATAACTTAATATTATATTCTAAACTTAACATAGTCTACACCTTTTTTTGAAATATAACTAAGTAATAACTACAGGATTAACAAGATAGTTAAGTTCAAAGGATGATGAGAAGCCATCTTGTTAATCCCATATTCTCCTTATGGTTTCTCCTATTTATTTGTTGTTACTTATTTGTTTACTATATATAATTATTGCTAGTGTAGTTGTATTATTCATTTCTCTTGATAAGGCCGTCTGAATGAGCATGTGAAACATTGAGTTAATAAATGTCAGAAATAGTATATCCATATATCTTGTACTTCTTCACCTATTCAGTAGGAAAAATATATTTTGATTGTCAGGAATATTAGAATTTCGTTGATTCTTTAATAGACTCTGCTGGTACTGATTAAGGTTTCAATAGGTACCTATGTATTTTGTATATAAAGTCATTTATTATAAATCTTTCAGACCTTTTTTTATCTGCTAGCTACCAATTGGTGTTACACAGAACCAATGCAAAGATAAACCAATTATTACATTCTATATGATATTAATCAGAATAGTCAAGTTATGTATGTCTAGAATATCTAGTATGTTTATGCCAAAATGTTTGAAATTCTAGGAAATTTCGATTTTGGTTATTACCAATAGAATGTTACGCTAATGTCAATATCATGTTCTTACTGTAGTTTTAATTGAAATATATAATTGAAGAGTAAATGCTAATAGTTTTGTGTAAAGTACTGTCTATAATAAAACTTATTAAAGGGATATGGTTGTCTGTAAACTATATTTACCAACTGAACTCAATTAAACCTACCCTGATTTACTTTCTAACTCATGGTTTATATACAATTATCAGGTAGAATTAAAAGCATTTGAAGTGTCCAAAACATATATCTTTTCCTTGCAAGCACAAATTACTTAGCAAGAGTTAGGTTTAAAAATTAGATTTCTATATCCCTTTAAACATTTGACAAGTTGATGGTAGACAGACTGTATTAAATATTAAACTGTAACATTCTTCAAATTGTTCTTTATTAATGGGTAATTAATGTTGCATGGTGGCCAAGTCTAATTATTACATACTCATTACACACCTCTTTGATTGGATCTTCAAGTTAAATATATTGAAACTTTTCTTGTTATTATCATAGTCAATTCTTAGCCCACAAACCCATGTTTCAGCATTTCGTCCTTTTTTATATGCCCACATGAAATGGGTGGCGTATATTGCTGTCACCAATGTCCGTCCGTCAACAATTGCTCGTAAACACTCCACAAGACACAATTAATTCTTGACGGATTTTGACAAAACTTGGTATGAGTGTTCATAATCATCTAATGATGAATCCTATTGAAAATCAGAAGAATCAAAAAATATTTAGTACGAGTTATTGCCCTTGTTCTTGCAAACACCTTCAATTTTTAGCTTGTAAACACTCCAGAAGGCATATTTCTTTACAATTTTGACGAAACTTGGTGTGAATGTTTATTATCACCCAAGGATGAACCCTTTTGAAAATCAAGAAAATCGAAAAATAATTAGTATGAGTTATTGCCCATTTTCTTGAGAAAGTGTTAAATTTTTAGCTCGTAAACATTCTAGAAGGCTCAATTATTGACAGATTTTGATGAAACTTGTTGAAATTGTTTAATATCACCCATGGATGAACCCTAAAAGGCATGATTCTTCAGGATTTTGACAAAACTTGGTTTTATTATTTATAGTACTGCGCTGAAAGTTGAATATTTGTCTTCTAGAGTTTTGACGAGCTAAAAATTGAACATGTTTTCAAGAACAAGGGCAATAACTCATACTCAATATTATTCAGTATCGCCCTAAGGAGTTCAAAAGAAGTGTATGACTAAAGGTTGAATATTTCATACTAGTGATTGTTACTGTACTGCTAAATTTTTTTATTCAAAATCAAAGCTGACAGTAGGCGTATATTACCTTGCCTGGCAAGCTATCTTTTTAAAACAAAGTTAATTAATCCAGTCAGAATTAGTCACTTTAACATAAGATAGCAATAACGCATTATTTTTTTGTTCCAGACCAAGCTGCGATAAAATGTGTCAGTGTACATTAGAGTAAAATCAAGTGGTCTGAGATGGGCTCTTTAGTTGTTGTATAAATGGAATCGTTCTGTGCATGCGTGTACTCTTTCTGAAGAAGTTAGAATTAGTCTTTGCATAAATGGCACTAAATACTGAAGAAGTTCTGCTGAAAAGAGTAAAGGTTGCTTATAAAGTATGCACAGTAAACTATTTGCAGATCAATAACTGTTTACATTATATGAATGTATTGAGTTTGAGAACTCCTGGGTTGGCCTGTGTTCTAAAAACACTTTACTGTTAACATTACACTCAATTAATCCTTACTATACACAACTGGACTATAAATTAAGTGGTTGAAATTTATATCTATAATTCTTCTGTCATTACATGCTATCATAGGGCAAAATATATAGTAAAAAGCCATCCAACTCTTGATCTCTATTCTGCACATGTATATTGACTGCATTCCCAAATTAAAATTTCAATACTTTTTCATTTATCTCAAATACATATAATTATTCATCTTCATTCAAAATATAATTTTTAATGGAATTGTATCATATACATGTGTATCAAATTCAGTAATAATTTTAACATAATTTTTTCAACAACTTGAACTCTTTTTAGTCTATTTTGAGAACATTTAATTTAATCACCCAATACTTAAAATAGATTTCAATCTAAGTTTGTACACTTTCATAATTTTTAAGTCATATTTTTGATATATTGTTATTTTTCATTGTCTATCAAATAAAATGAATTCATTTGAAAATTAGATTAAAACACAACCATTTTAGCACAGAGTAAATTTATGTCTAAAGTCTATTTATGTTTGCTCGTAGTGTCCATATGAAGTATTTTTTTGAAGGCTTTTCTAAAGTCATCATTGAAAACTGTATATAGAATAGGATTTAAACACGAATTGGCATATCCCAACCATATTATAAAACTGACCAAATGTTCATTCATATCACAAGTCACACAAAAACTTCGTGTTAAATACATAAACAAAAATGGAATCCAGCAGACACAGAAACAAGCCATTATAGTCAACATTCTCTTAGTGGCACGTTGTTCACGCAGTTCAAATCTCCGTTTCATTGATAATGTCATTCGATTATTCCGTGTAATTTTTGGAGGAGGTGATTCACGTGTTGATGTTGGAGATTTTGGTGATCCTTGTGTGTTATTCGTAGTGGATAAGATATTGGCACTTTTGGAACGGTCAGCTTGAGTGATAACATTATTTGGACTCATCACTTCAGATTTACATTTAACCATCATATGATTATTATTAGATATACCATTAGTTTTGGTATTTTGTTTTGGACTGGATTCCAGGTCTGATTCTTCTGAGTCCAGATTGGAAATACTACGTGAATTCTCCTGGATTGGTAGAAGGCTATTTTGACATGATAAATCAGTGATATCACGTCCAGTATAGACTGAAGACTCCATTGTTGAGTCATCCAATTCTTCAATATAAAAGGAACTAGTTTGTGTCGTCATTGTATCTAGATTGGTTTCTCGGGTAACACTTCGCTCTATTATCGGTTGATTTCCTCCATTTAGTGCAGATTCTTTCCGTGCATAGTATAAGTTTGCCTTGGCTTTAAGATGTTTAGACTGCTTATGAAGAACAATAAATATACGAATATAGAGAAATGTCATTAATAACAAGGGCAAGACAAAAGATCCCATAGCAGAATATACCACATAACTCTGGGTCATAAATAATATACATTCATGTCGGTTGAGTTCTGGATTTGGTGAATAAAAATTAGGAATCATTTCTCTCCAGCCAATAAATGGTGAAAAGGAAATAATGATAGAAAATATCCATACAAAAGATATATAAGCTAATGCTTTTTTACGTGATCGTTTATCATGATACCACACCGGATACACTGTAGCTGTATAACGGTCAAAGGCGATAGTACATAATCCCCAAATAGAAGCTGTACATATTAGTACATCTATACACAACCATATTGTACACATTGTTTCACCAAATATCCAATAACCTAACATATCATTACCAGTTGATATTGGTAAAACTACTAATGCTATACAGAAATCACTCACTGCTAAATTTCCGATTAAACAATTGGACATGGTTTGTAAGGAACGATAACGGTATAAAGCGAGAAGCACCATGAAATTTCCAATCACAGTAATCAGTATTGTAAGGGATAACAGTAATGTCACTAACACAAATACAAAAAATGATTCAAAACGTGTAGAACAAATAGGATCACTTAGTTTCCATTTAGTTGTAAAATTTGATCCACAGATAGTCGACTCTAGGGCATACATTTTATCCTGTTCAGACATATTGCCATAGATAGAAGTAATGTTGGAAGTATTGGTCATTAGGTATTGATAGTAATCTCCCTTTGTTATCAACATGGTGATATTATTTGTTTCCTTGGTGATGTTATAAAAAAGGTCATCAGCTGTTTTATCGCGCAGGTCATTAAGTTTTTGTTGATAATCGTTATTCATGGCTGTTGCATTATTTCACATTTCTCCCTCTAACAAAATATCTTAAGCCATGATTTTTATTGGTTGTCGTTGGAGTAATGTCAATTATCCAGCAACCATTATCTGTAATATAAAAGACATTAACATTTGAGATACGATATAGATATGGTCCATCATTCCTCTATTTCTGGTTTTATAGTTACCTAACATTAGCTCTCTCTATGTTTTACTTAGTGTTCCAAGGCAATTATGACTATTAGAGGTATCGCTTGACTGAAATTACTTTCAGTTCACACAAATCATTAGGGAAAATATAAACTTGGAAAAGAAACATGTTCAAACACAAGACAAATACATAAATTTGACGAGTTGTTCATAAGCACATAGAAATCTAATACAAGCTAAAAACCTACTAATATAGGTATTTTATCAGGACGTGGAAATTTAACAGGGGTGTTTATCATGTGGCCAAGATTTTGTTTAAGCGACAAATTTGTATGTCCCATTGCAGCATTTTCATTATTCTGTTTTTTTTTTCTTCAGATATATATATTAGAATCCAATGGTATCAAACTTCATTATATATTACATATGTCCAGTAAAGAAAATGCAGTGATCAAAAAGTAATAAGTCATTTGACAAGATAGGAAATCTATACTTTAAAATTTCTAGGACTAAAAAATTGTACATATCTAAAACTCATTTATGTTGCTAACATCTTATAGATTAACAATGAAAAATGTGTTCAGTATAGATTATTCACTATTCGAGACAGATTTACTGGCCAGATATCAAGTCTGTTTAATTTCGTTGTATTTACCACTCTGTCCAAACTAGATAAATTCACTCTACTTGGCAAACAAGCAAAACACTGATTGCAGTGGGATATGATATAGGTTCAGCAAGCATGACATAGATTGTAGAATATAAGTTCAGGAAGCTGGCCATACATAGATAGCAAAAAAAGTAGGTAGGATATAAGTTGGGTAAGACATACATAGATTGTAGGATATAGGTTAAGAAAACCATACATAGATGGATTGCAAAGGAGGATATAGGTTCAGCAAACCTAACATATATTGCAATGGAGTAAGATATTGGTTCAGCAAGCCTGATATAGGTTCAGCAAGCCTGATATAGATTCAGCAAGCCTAACATAGATTGCAATGGAGTAAGATATTGGTTCAGCAAGCCTAACAAAGATTGCATTGGGGTAAGATATAGGTTCAGCAAGCCTAACATAGATTGCAATGGAGTAAGAAATAGATTTAGTTAGCATAACATAGATTGCAATTAAGTAAGATTAAAACTCATAGCTTTAAAACTTTTAAGTCTGAAATCTTTAAGTTTGAAAAATTAAAAATTCTATTATTTCAAACTTGTTTCTCTTTCAAGATTCTGTCATACCATAATTGATTTGACAAGATTATAAAAGAACATTTTAATGTCTATTGATATGATATAAGCTCTTCTGAGTTAACGATTTCTTGTTAATTTTCTTATGTTAACTTGTGTGGAAATTACAGAATATTGTTCAGAATGCATTCAATGAGTGTTAGTTTTTTCTTCTCTGTCAATTGACTTGTGATTCACCTTATTCATTCTGTACAAGCAGCTAATTAAATCGACTTCTTACAAAACTTGATTTATACAGAAATTGCGTGCATGATTTGAAATGAAATTCAGAAGATATGTTGGTGTTAAAACAGATTGTTCTATGTATCTAAAATAAGACTATAATAATTGGTTTGTATAGTAGTAGGTGTCTGATTATATGATATCATTTCTACAATAATATATAGTTATTTTAAACTTTGATTGTTACACAATATATAGATAATAATCTTATATTAATAAATTTATGAATGATTTAATTTTAGAATGCAGGAATAACTTGTATTATGAAATAATGGTTACAGCACATGTTGAAATTTCTTATCTTACAGTTGCATGAATGAGAAGCATATATTTTCCACGATCAGATGTGTGGGTTCATACACACTTACTTCAAAGACAAAGCTCTTAAAGATTTTAAAAAAACAAGTTGGGGTGTTCATTTTTACTTTGGAGTGGGAGATAGTATTCTAATTATTTATTGTGACAGCTGATCATGTTATATATTTTGTATCATGAAGGTCCATATTTTTGGTCTTTTCCACTGACTTGCTTTACTTTGGCACTAAGTTGCATTTGAATAGGGAAAAAACTTCAACTACATGGCTTTACACATGATATATTGAAGTGTTACAATATGTTTAAACAGGAAGTTAAACAATCTGTTACATCAACTTGCTTTATTCCACAGATTCAATATATTACTCAATCTCTAATTTAGATTTGATGTGTTACTACATTAAAATCACCAGTTTGAAAATACTGTAGTATTACCTTAATGGTGGGTGGGTGGCTACCAATTACATTTTTATCTATTGTGTTTATTTACATAACTATAATTAATGGATCAAGGAATATGTTGAAACATTACCAGAATAGGGAATTGATAGAGCAAAAATAATAATCCTTATTCAGTAAAACAAAGTGAATTATAACAGAACAGACATCATGGCTTACTGACCTCAATGAACAAACTCCATAAACAGAGTTCCATGCTTATAAACTCAGTTGTTGATTTTGTTTGCTGCTGTGAAAACTTTGAATTTGTCGTTAAGAAAACGAGAGCTTTTCTTAAATGCTGTCATCCTGAAATCAACTTTTGTAACTTCTCAGATTGACTTGCGAGAATAAATTTCAAAGTATAAGAGGCTTGAAATTTCCAACTTAACTTCATAAGAACAGTGTCAACAAATTAATTTGGAATATTTCCAATACAAGAAATATTGACAAGAATGGTTAATGTAAGAGTTAACTATTGATGATGAAGATTGTGTTTGATGTAATGGTAGAAAGGTCAAAATGTAATATTGCTATCTGTACTGTATTGTGAGCCATCTGAGTCATGTAAATGAGGTTTTTATTTCTCATTAATAAGAAGAAACTACTTAAGTTATTTAGTTCTGTGATTTTATGAATAATATCTCCAGATTTATGATGCCTTTTATAACTTTATTATTTCTCATGTATTAAACTTTCCTCCCTATCATCCTTTTATCAATTTAAGTTCCATGCTAGAAATACTAAATCTTAAGTATTGCAATGACTTTGTTTACCAAACTTAAGGACAATGTCAGGCCTTGTCTTATTGATTTTGGAACTGAGGCCTAAAAAATTGTCATCCAGAATGGTGATATTCAAATCATGCAACTTTTGAAAGTAATCTTAAGATCCTTCGACTCTTCATCTCAGAGATGTCAAAGCAAGTCCTATCTATCTATATCGAAGGTGAATGCTTTTGTTACAAATTAAAATTCAAAGCAAAGACATTTGTATCTAAATACTGGGAGAGATGATTGTGTTGTATTATTATATCATCCTTGATTTTAATGATGAAATAGGAAGTGACCAGAAGATGACCTTTATATTGAAGGAGATAAAAATTAATTGATAGAATGAGAATTATTGACTTTTTGTTAATGATGAGAATGTGGTAAGATAGTAACTACTGTTATCATGTATTATCAAATCCTCATAAATAAGTCATTAACAGTACTTGTTTTTCCTTATACAGTCAAAACTAACAAATTGGTGGAAAAACCAATAATTACCATCTGATTTTGATTTTTCACTTTTAACTAGGGAAATTGACCATCTGACAACTGATTTGAATTCTATATAAATTGAATTTGAATATGCTGCACATTATTAGAGAAATAGCATAATAAGGCGGCAAAAGATTCGTCTATAAAGTAATATAACAAGACCTGACTACCAAGGTTACATATAGGTAAACTAGATCACTAGACAAGCCTACCAAGGTCTATATCTAAGTAAACTAATATCACAAGACAAAACTACCAAGGTCTACATTTAAGTAAACTCACTAGACAAGACTTTCAAGGTCTATACTGTATCTGAATTACCAATTTCTTGATCTAGATAAACCAATATCATCAAACAAGATTACTAAGGTCTATATCTAAGTAAACTAATATCACTTAGACAAGATTACCAAGGTCTATATCCAAATAAACTAATATCACTGCAGCCACTAATCGCTTTTCTTCATTATTCCAGAAAATTTGAAGCAGTCAGAGTTTTTATGATTCTGTATTTTCCACAGACAATTGTCTCAATAATGTTATTTCCGTAAATGTAGATTAAAAGTATTATGAATTTCTTTATTAGGTCCAAGAAGATTTATAGGATAATCGTTATGATCTTCTTTGATTTAGTTCATTGCATATTAGCATCACAATTATTGTAAACAACCCCGTGCCAGTGCCTTATATTGTAACTTGTTACTCTTCAATCACCCTAATCACTAGACAAGATTACCAAGGTCTGTATCTAAGTAAACTAAAATCACTGGACAAGATTACCAAGGTCTATATCTAAGTAATCTAATATCAATAGACAAGACTATGAAGGTCTATATCTAAGTAATCTAATCTCACAAGACTACCAAGGTCTACATTTAGGTAAACTAATGTCCTCAGACAAGACTACCAAGGTCTATATATAGGTCAACTAATATCACTAGACATGACTACCAAGGTCTATATTTAAGTAAACTAATATCACTGGACAAGACAACCAAGTTCTATGTCTAAGTAAACTAGTATCATCAGACAAGACTTTCAAGGTCTATACCGTATCTGAATTACCAATTTCTTGATCTAGATAAACCAATATCATCAAACAAGATTACCAAGGTCTATATCTAAGTAAACTAATATCACTTAGACAAGATTACCAGGTCTATATCTAAGTAAACC